CTGCTCCTAGTCCCTCTGGAGCAGGGCCCAGCCTGCCCAACAGGGCTGAGCTGACACGGGGGCCCAGCTGGCTGGAGGATGCGGCAGGCAGACCTGTACCTGCGAGACTGCGGCCGCCTCAGCTGCACATCCCCTCTCGGGGCAGCTGGAACCACCTGGGCCAGCGCTGGCCTTCCCGAGGGCCAGCTGTGTGTCCCCACCATCCCAGGGTCAGGCCTCTGCACCTGCTTTTCTCTCCGCTCGGGGGGACGCTGTCCCCCACCCTCCCTATGGCTGGTCGACTCGTGCTTAGCCTCCAGATTGCAGCTCAGCCACCACCACCTCCCGGTGACCCATTCTGACTCCCCTGTGTGTGCGTCCCCGTCTCTACCTGCATTAAGTCTTGCACACTAGACCGTGGGCACTTTGGGGCTCGGAGAAAGCCGTATCGAATGTTTGTCGAGGGAAGGAGTGAATGGATGGGTGGATGAGTGGATGGGTGGATGGGTCCTCTAGTCACACCTTCTCTTGTCCACATCTCTTTCCGTGGCCCCAGGCTCCGCTCATGGGAGCCCTGCAAACATCCTAGATAGATTAATCAAGACTCCCGGTGTCTCAGTTCACACCTGCGAAAGGGGAAGAGGACCAGTCTCTCCCATGCTCCAGAAGAGTAGACTGAGGCCAGGGAGGTAATGTGGCCTCCTCCAAATGGGCGGCAGAGTGAGGAGCCAAGCTCTGGCCTCTTGGCTGGACTCGAAAGCTAGGAACGCCTCGTCTGAGACCCTGTGCCTCAGAGTCCTCCTCTATAAGAAGAGATAATAAGGATAGACCCATGGGACTGCCAAGAGGATAACATATGTTGCTTAGAACCATCGGGAGCACCTCAGTGTGGAGTTCAGGATGGGCCTGCCTCTACCACTTCCGCCTTGTCTTTCTCCAGAGGGAGCACTCCCCCTGGAATTGCTGTTGACCATTTTTAAGCATATTTTTATTTTTTTTAACTTTTTATGCATATTTTTAGACTTTGCTTAAAAATGTAGGTATCCATACACAGTTTATAAGATTTGGGGCTTGCTTTTAAACCTTATGTAGGTGATACCATCTTGTACGTGTCCTTGGGTTTCTTTCCTCCACCTGATGTTTGTGAGGTCACCCACATTGGTGCGTGGAGCTCGTCCATTTTCAAGGCTACGTGGCATCCCCTGTGCGATTACACACTGTTCTGGTCATGTTTTCTCCTAGTTATGGGCATGTAGGGTGTTTCCAGGTCTTCACTAGTACAAACATTTTGTACACTTGTGTCCTTGTCTCCTGTGAATGTTCCTGCGGGGCACATACCATAGAGTGTGCATCTTTTCAACTCTACTTGGTAACCGCCAAGTTGCTGTGCCATTTTTCACCCCGACCGGCAGTAGGCACTTTGCCTGCATTATCTCAACACCCCCCGGCCACACTGGGAGAAAGTAATGTTTTGCTCATCTCACGGATGGAGTATGTATTTGTTAGTTGTCTATGGCTGCGTAACAAATCACCCCAAAACCCAGTGGCTTGAAACAACAAATTTATATTATCTTACAAATTCTGTGGATTAGGAATCCAGGTGAGGCTTAGCTGGGGACCGCCAACTCCAGGTGTCTCACAAGGCTACGGTACAGGTGTTAGCCAGAGCATCAGTCATCTCAAGGCTCAAATTGGGCAGGGTCTGCTTCCACATTTGCTCGTGTGGGTATTGGAAGGCCTCAGGGCCTCACGGGGGTGTTGGTTAGAGACATTAGTTCCTTTCCATGTGGGCTCCTCACCAGGGCAGCTAATAATAGGGCATCTGTTACCTGTCCCAGTGAACAAGCCAGTGATGGAGAGAGGGTTCCCAAGATGACAGCTAGTCTCTTTGTAGCTTTGTACCCTGACCTCAGAAGGGCTAGGCCATCATATCCTCGTCATTAGAAGTGACTCCATTAGTTCAGCCCACACTCAGGGGGAGGGGATTGCACTCAGTGGGTTAATGCCAGAAGGTAGGGACCACGGGGAGTCCTTGAGGGAGCTGCCGCCTATCACAGGGCGACGGAGGCTCAGAGAGGTGAAGTGACTTTCCCAGGGTCGCACAGCAGTTGGAGGTGGAGCCAGAACTGGAACTCAGGACTGCTCCGCTCTAAGGCTAGACACCTTCTGAGCCACCACCCGCTGCCTTTGACTTAATAACAGGTTCCGACTTAAATTAATAAACAAGGCTGCTGCACAACGGAACTCAAGACAAGCGCTTAATGAATGGATTTGCTAATAGTGCTGCCTGTTTGCACACATTAGCTCAGGTGCCCCCTGACATGATCCATGGGGACAGCCAAGCCCAGGCTCTCAGGAGAAGCTGCTCTGCCAAGCCTGGAGCCCAGATTCCCAAAGAGCCAGGGAGTGGTCCCTTTTTACAGATTGCTTTTTATGTTTGCTTTTTTTTTTTTTTCTCTCGATTTAATCATTTGGGTGTATCTGTGGGTTTTATTTGGGGGCAGGGGGAGGGTTTGGTTTTAGTAGCGTGTACACTTCCTTGCGTTTTCAGGAGAGCTAACTGCAAGGTCAGGAACATCAAGTGTTGGTGGGGGGAGAACTTTGGGGTGGGCGGGGCTGACCAGCCCTCTCACTGGCCCCAGATGCATTTCCTGCTTCTCAGCTCTCCTGGATGCAGTGACCAGGCACCCCAGGAACCCCAGCAGGGCTGTGTGGCCAGGCTGAGTGAGGGCCAGTCCCCCGACCTTATGCGTCTGCACGGCTCCTACCCTGGGTTCTCCAGGAGCCAGTTCTCAGTGGGATTCCAAGTAGTGGAGGCTGCTGCCTACATTGCTGCTAGATGAGTGAATGTCATGGATGCTGGAACATTTCCAGTGGAGGCGTGGGTGACCAAGGCCCCGAGATGAGGGGAAGTGAGAGTTGAGGATCTGAGTGTCTCTGCCCCCATGCCCTGGCCCCCTCCGCCTCCAGGGGGAACCCACTAGTCCTTCCCGATGAGTGGATTTCAGCGGAGTTTAATTTGCACACATCAGCGCCTCCGGAATCAGGGCTCTGGGCTCTCTGCAGAAAGTGGAAGAGACACAAGATCAATCCCTGCCTTCGGGGTGTTCCTGATTCTCAGAGGATGAACTCGGTCGAGGCTTCTCTTAGTGGGAACGTTGAAAGCTACCTCTGTCATTATAGAGGAGGGGCTGGAGGGCCAGGGAACGGAGAGCAACCATAGCAGCATAATAACCATTTATTAAGCACCTATTATATGCCTACATTTTTTAGGCACCTACCGTGTGCCAGGCCTCGCATCAAGTACTGGATATGTATTAAGTCATGAGACCCTCACGTCATTCCCCATGAAATAGGTTCTACTGATATTCCATCTTCCAGAAGAGGAAACTGAGGCCCAGAGAGGTACCCAAGGATACAGAGCAGGAGGCTGAGGTGCTCAGAGTAGGCTTCTGGAAGGAGGGGGCCACACAGACCCCCGGATTGAAAGGGAAGAGGGGAACGTTTGGAAGAAATGGGTGGAGAGTCTGAGAAAGCTTCAGTGACAAGACATGGTGAGGTAGGGGGCTGCCAGGGAAGAGACACCGGGGAAGTGACGGTGGGCTTCTCCACCTCTGCCCTTGGAGCCCTGGCCTCGGCCTCGGCCGCAGGGGGAATCCCTCCGTGGGGATCAGCACATCTCCACGTGTGCTTTGTGCAAAGTCCCCTTGAGCTGAGCCCCAGTGCCCTTCCCGGGACCGGCTGCCCCATGCAGGATGGGGGACAGGGACTGGGGAGCACCTGGAGGACTGTATTTTCCCTCGCGGTTCCTGGGCGTGACCCTACGCCACATGCCTGACTGGTCCCCTGGCATCCCTGAGTCACTCTGGCTCAGCAAGGGGCTTCAGAGGGCGTCAAGAAGGTCGTAACCCTGGCCACAGCTCCAAGCCCACCTCCAAGAGGGGCTTCCTTGCCAGCCCCTCGGAGGCCCCATCTCCGCCCCCTCCATGGCTGCACCAGTGCGGGGCTCTGACCTATGGATTTTCTGCTACTTCCTGATCCACTTCACTGCAGCCTGAGTCCTTAGGACTTCATTATACCCGCGGTCTCAGCAACCCCAGCACGGAGGGCTGCACTGCCACCCCCCATTCCTGGGCTTCAGCCTTCTAGGAACTCAGAAGCCTTGAAGGAGTCCCCCCTTAGGTCACATCCCATTCACCCCACTCTCCAGGTGGGGCCACAGAGACAGCACCTTCCCACCCTGCCAACCCCCGTTGCCTAGCCAGCGAAGCTTTTACCCAGGGAGGGGCAGTGGCCTGTCAAGGTCCCAGAGCAAGTTATTAAAAGTGCTCGGAATCAAATTTGTGATATAAATTAGGACATCGGGGGGGGGGGGTCCACTAGTTCCCCAGGGACCTCCTGCTGGCTCCCACTCCAGCCTGCTCCCCAACCTGCTCCATGCCCTGTGCTGCCTGCCCAGCCCCCACCCCCTCCCCAGCTCCTGGTCTCCGTTTTTCTTGCTAATTAGAGGTCTCAGCAATGACTCCACTGTCCCAGCCATTTTAGAGCTGTCATTAATTTCAAGTGGCTTCAGAAATAATCATCATCGTAAAACCCCTCGAGCTGCCGGGCCGCACACAGGCAGCACCAGCAACGACAGAGCCGGCGCACAGGCGGGCCTGCGAGTGCCACCCATTCCTTCCTGGGCCCTGGGGAACTGGCCCCTCTTCCTGCGTCCACGGCCTCGCAGAGTGGGGGAGCCCAGAGCTGGCGCTGTGACATCAGGCACGCGCCGAGCTTCAAAGTCCAGCCCTGCTTCTATCAGACTGAACTTGGGCAAGATACCAGCCTCCCCAGAGCCTCAGTGTTTCATCTGTACAATAGGGGTGGTAATACCAGGGTTGAAGTGACAAGTACTCGAAGTTGTGGCTCTGAGCCTGGCTCACAGTAGGGGCTGAGCAAAGGTTCCAGGGCCCAGTCCCCTCCTCCCCAGGCCCCTGGCAAACCCGTTCCAGTTTCTCTACTTTGCTGTTCTCACTCAGGCCACTGCAGGCTGGCTGCTGCTTCCAGCCATCGGGTCCTGCTTGACTGAGGCTTGCCGAATATTCTCCCTGAAGCCAGGATCTGCTGGGTGCCCACCCGCGAGACAGGTAGGTTGAGGCCTGCTCTTGGGAGCTGCTAGTCTGAGGACAGAGAGGGAGGAGACTCCGGCCTGGCTTCCCAGGCCCTTTCAGTCTGGGGAGGGGAGACAGGAATCGAGACCACTAATAGAGGTCTCAGTTTGGTCTTGAAGCCCAGGTGCGGGCAGGCCAGTGAGGACTGAGGCTTGCAAGTGTGGGGGGAACAGTCCGCAGCTGTAGGCCGGCAGGGTCCCCGGGTTATACCAAGGAAGCCTTGGGCCAGGCCGCCCCGATGTTCACATTAGTCCCCAGGACTAATGGGGCCCGGGAGGGGGCTCTGCGGGGTCCACCCCACCAGCCAGAGCGCAGAGGCGCCTCATTCCCCATCTTGTGCAGAGACATCCGACTGGGTGGGGACCCGGTGACAGGCCTCCCCGCCCTTCTGTGGGGTCTTTGCGCACGAGGCCCGGGCTGGACCCTCCGAAAGGCGCTTCTTTCCTCCGCCTCGTTGCCCCAGCTGCACCCCACCCACCGCAGTGCACCCGGAGCGCTGGAGGGGGGTCGGTCCTCTGCAGAGACGGCAAGGGGGCAGGGCGGGGACCCGTGCACCGTGGAGAAGCCAGGCCGAGGGCAGAGCCACAGGCGGGGCTCTTGGGGTGCGCGCAGGGGGCGACCCGCGCCGGCCGTGGGGGCAGGGGCGCCCCCCAGCTCCTCCGCCGCCACCGAGGCTGGCAGCAGGTGAGTCGGGGGCGGCGATGCCGTGGCCGCGCGGTGCCTGCGTCAGTCGCCGCACCAGGAATAGCCCCCGCCCCCGCCGCCGCCCCCCTGCGGGTCTGCGCCCGCCCCGCGCCCGCCGAGCCTTTACGCAGGAGCCGGAGAGCGTCTATTCCTGTCGGGCTGGTGGGAGGCGCGCGGGGGGCGGGAGCGCGGGGAGCGCCGGCAGCGGGGAGGGGCCGGGCCGGGGCGGGCTCCGTTAGGGGCGCGGACACCTGTGCCGCCTCCCCGCCCCCCGCCCCCCTGCCCGCGCCCCTGCCGAGCCTGCCCCCGGCCGGGCGCCCCCCCGCGGCGAGTCCGGGTCCGCCCTCCCGTCGTGGGGGCGCAGCGCCTCGGAGGGCGGCGGGGGCAGGAGCGGCGGCGCGCACCTGCCGGGGGGGCGCTCGGGCGGGGCGGGCGATGGACGCGGGGCGGCGGCCGGGCGGGGCGGTGCAGGCCCGCGGGGCGGCGGGGAGGCCGCGGAGCGCCCGGGATCCGCTTGGCTGGAGCAGGTTCGTGCGACTCTCCGGGCTGCGCGCGTAAGGCTCGGCGGGCGGGCGGGGCGGGGCGGGGCGGGGCGCGCTGTGGGGGGCGAGGGGGCCGGGGCCGGCCAGGTGGGGGGGCGCAGGGAGAGGTCCCGGGCTTCTTCGCCGCCGCCGGAGCGCCCTGCCCCGACCCCCTGCCCCGACTCCCTACCCCCCACCCCGACCCCGTTCGTCCTACCCGTACCCCTATCCCGTACCCTAACCCCTACCCCGCCCTTACCCCTACCCCCTACTCTTACTCCCTACCCGTACCCCTATCCCTACCCCTACCCTTACCCCGTACTTCCTACCCCCTACCCCTTACCCCGACCCCATACTCCCTACTCCCCACCCCTACCCGTCCCTTACCCCGTACCCCTTACCCCGACCCCGTACCCCTACCCCGTACTCCCTACCCCCTACCCGTACCCCTACCCCGCCCTTACCCCGACCCCGTACACTACTCCGTACCCCATACCCCTACCCCCTACCCTTACCCCCATCCCTACCCGTACCCCTACCCCGTACTTCCTACCCCCTACCCCGTACCCCTTACCCCGTACCCCTACCCCGTACCTCGTACTCCCTACCCCCTACCCCTACCCGTCCCCTACCCCTACCCCTACCCGTACCCCCCACCCCTACCCGTACCCCTACCCGCCCCCCGCCCCCGCGGGCCGACCACCGCAGGGCGCCCATGCGGTAGACTGTCCGGAGTGGAGGAGGGGCGGGGGGCGGGGGGTGCCCTCATTGGTGGTTTTATCGACCAAGTTAACTTAGTGCCGAAGGGCATCTGCTTCCAGGGGGGGCGGGGCGGGGCGGGAGGTGGTGGGGCCCAGGGGTGCCAGTCCCCGTGCAGCGCACTGCGCCGGGGTCGCGCGCGTCGGCCGGCCCCGGAGGATCCGCCGCCCGAGGAGACGGCTCCTCCCTGGGCCCGGAGCCCCGGATCCGCGGGAGGCGCGGACGCGGGTCCGCCGTGCCCGCCCCGAGGCTGCGCGCTGCCCCCTGCCGGTCTGTGGGTGCAGCGCCCTGGGCCCGCGCGGGTCGCGGCGGCGGCTGCCCCCTGCTGGGCGGGGCGGGGGCTGCGGGGGCGCGGGGCGGGGCCAGGGGCGCGGGCCGCAGGGGGCGGGGGCGGGGGCGGGGTGGGAGCGGCGGAGCCCTCCGCTGGGCGCCCCGGAGCTGCCCCCCTGCGCCCTCGGGGCCCGGGGCCGCGGGCGTGTGGACCCGCAGGCACCTCGGCCCGGGGACAGGGGACGGGCGCTCCGGGCCTGACCCCCACGCCGTCCTCCTTGGCCGCTGTCGGGCGCGTGTCCGCCCCCACGGCCGTGCGCACTGACCTGCTGAACACGTGCGGACACACTCACGTGCTCACGCGCACACGCATGTGGCCGCACGGGAGGGCGCGTTCACACGCGGGGAAGCGCGCCCGGGCCTCGGAGGGCGCGACCGGTGCGCCCCTCCCGCCCCCTCCCCGCCCCCTCCCCGCCCCCGGGCTCCGGGCCCCGCGGCCGCGCCTCCTCCTCCCCCCGCCCGGCTCGCTCCCTCCCCCCTCCCCGCGGCCCCTCCTCCCTCCCCGCTCGCTCGCTCCTCGCGCTCCCTCCCCGCGCCGCGGCAGAGCGCGCAGCCCGGGCGGGAGCCGGTGCGGGCGCAGGAGCGGGCGCAGGAGCGGGCGCAGGAGCGGGAGGGGAGCGGCGCGGGCGGGCGGCCCCGGCCCCGGCCCCGGCCCCGGCCCCGGAGCGTGCGGACCCCCCGCCCCCCCCCCCACGGCCCCTCTCCCGCCCGGGGTCGGGCAGCAGCATGCGCGCCCGCTGCCCGCCGGCCTCAGCCCCGGCCCCGGCCCCCGCCCCGCTGCGGAGCGCGCCCGGCCTCGACCCCGGCCCCGGCCCCGGCCCCAGCGGCTCAGGCGGCGGCGGCGGCCCGGGCCCGGCCCGGCGCGCGGAACCAGGCTCGGCCTGAGCGCCCCCGCCCCGCCCCGCCCCCGCCCTCCGCGCTTCATCCCGGCCCGGCCCGGCTCCCCCGCGCGCGGCGGACGGACGGACGGACGGACGGACGGGCAGCGCCGCCGGGCGGAGGTGTGGGCCGAGGAGGAGGAGACGGGGAGGGGGCTGGGCCGGGGGAGCCGGCGGGGAGACATGCGGCTGGTGCCCGAGCCCAGCGGACGGACGGCGCGCCCGAGATGCAGGTGAGCGCGGAGGCCCCGGGGTGCGGAGCCCCCAGACCCCCCTGCGGGGTCGCAGGCCTGACCCGCTCCGGCCTCAGACCTGAAGCTCCTTCCCTTGCCGCCTGGGTGTTGGCTGGCTGGGCGCGCAGCTCCGGAGGGCACCCGCCACCCGCCGGGCCGGGTGGGCCTGCCCCACCCCCAACCCCACCCCCCACCCCTGCCCCCGCCCGCCAGCGCTGCCCAGCCCGGACGGTAAGCCCCTGCCCAGCGGGCGCTGCACCCCTCCTAGGTCCCAGATGCCCCCGGGCGGCGCCCGGCACCTGCCAGGGGGTGAATGCCAGGCGGGACCAGTTTTCTCCACGGGCTCCGGCCTGGGCACCGTCTTCCTCCCCCGACAAGGAGCAGCCCCTTTCCTGCCCTGGCTCACGGGGAGGGAGGAGAGGGGACCTGGAGGGTGAGGAGGGTGCAGGGGACGGAGTTGAGGTTGTGGAGGACTCGGGAACCCTTTAGGAGCCTCCCTTTGTCTTCAGCCCCGCTTCTCACCTCCTCCTGTCCCACTTTTCATTCTGAGGCTGCCGGTGGGAGGTGGGAAGCAACCTAGAGAAGGGAGGTGAGAAGGGAGCATCCAGTTCCGCCTCTCCACCCTCTGTGAGGTGGCCCAGTGCCCCCCCCCAGGCCATGTCCCTCCAGGTGGCTTCCACCGTGAGGAGGGGTGGGGCCAGGCCCGTGGGCAGTGCCCCCTGTTCCCACCCTGGGTCCCAGCCCAGCCCCATCCAGCCCTGGCTCTGCTGAAGGCATCCCCTTTGTTCTCCGAGGTCCTGGGCTCAGGGTGGGGGAGAAGGGGCATGTGAGAGGTGCCCTGGGAGTGCCGGAGGCCCTGAGGTGGGAGGCACCACCATCTGGGCTGGCCCCTTCCCTTCCGGCCCAGCCCACCGTTGGTCCTCCTCTGCTTGGCTTGGGCGGCCGGAGGTGCACCTGCCCACAGCTCTGGGCTCAGCCCTGCTGGTCATTATGCCACCAACACTGCTGCCTCCCATGCCCAGGGAGCAATGAGCCAGGGCATCCAGGCGGCAAAGCACCCGGGGCTTCCCCACATCCAGCAAGGAGTGCAGGTGAGGGGAGAGAGGGTCACGGGTTCCGAAATCCTTTGTCCTTATGTGGGATCTGGTCTGCTGGGGGACAGCTTGCCTGCTTCCTCCTCATTGCCTGAGGCAGGAGAGAGAGGATAAAGTGGCAGATTGGAGAGGCCAGGAACTCCTAGGAACCCAGGTAGGGACTCCTGGCAGCACCCGGATGCCTTGATGCCTGCCTGGAGGAGGGCTTAGCAAGGGTGAGGGCAGGCTCACCGAGAGGTGCTTGCTGTCTCTGTCCCCTCCCCCGCCCCCTGCCAATTTAAGTGTGAGGTGGGCCTTGGGTAGGGCTTGGTCAAGGCTGCAGTGCTCCCCAGGGCCCAGAGTTAGAGAAGGTCCTCAGTCCACGGGTCCAGATTTTGGGGGTCCAGATTCGTGCTCAAGGCCCAGGAACCTTGGCTTGTGGGGAGAGGGCCCTGGGTGCCTAGCGGGAAGTGGAGAGGCTCCTCTGCCCCTTGTGTA